GTCGAGAAAACTCTCCTCCCGCCGAGACGCTAATTCCGACGCCAAAAATCATTGCAAATCGTCCCAATAGCATTTCACTTTACTCCCTTCCCCGAGAAAGAAAAAAGAAAAAGAGAAGGGAAAAGAATTCATCGAACCGACGAAATGATTTTCTAGAAATAGTACCGACTAGTCTAGGTAATTCAAGGAATAATGGATTTGACTCGAATTAATTGAAATTGATTGTCAGGATTCACTCGGATTCATCTGAGATCAATTTTCGCCCCGGAGTTACATCCATTTCTCTTTCTTTCTTTTTCGTCCCCCCTTTTTTCCCAGAGTCGAGAGCCCCTGATTTGCGTACACGCGTACACGATGTATTCCACGTATTCAAAGGTGCAAACCCTTTCATTAGCGCGTAGGCCACGCGCTCTATTATTCCGTACAAAATCTGGGATGTCCATTGTCGGGCCCGCGAACAATGGGGCCGGCGCGTCGCGCGCTCTATTTTCAATTATCACTAGCGAAAGTGGGCAGAAAATCGGCAAATTGCGCGGCGATTCCGTTCGATCCCGTTCCCCCTTTTCTTCTTTATTATGTTTTCTTCATTCTCTTTTTTTTTTTTTCCCCAGGACACGTGGACCCTCCTCGTCGCCCCCTACTCGGCTCTCCATTCTCTCGGTGGTTCGTGTTTTTTCACCCCCTGTCGGGTTCTCATCTCGCCTGTCTATTTTATGAATTATTAACCCCTGCACCTCCTTGCCCCCCCCCCCAATCCCATTCCATGATTGGCCTCCACCCTAGCGCCGTCACCCTCGATCGCGACTCTTCGCCTCTCCACCCTTTCATTTTTCGAGATTTTTCGTAACCCTCTATTACGGAATTTTTCCAACCAGGTGTATACAGTACAATCAACAGGAATTTTTTTGTTTGGGCGTACAAGAACCGGATAGCAGGGAAATATCGAGCGAGATCCGCGTTTCAGTCCCGAAGAGGCGAGAGTTCTCGCGCCCAAAAGGGGTGGCGGGTTTCTCGGCAGGTTTAGGGGGGTTGCTCGGGATGAATATGCAAAAGACTATGCAGCTTTGTCGGCACGCGGAGATGATGCACCCCCAGGGATAATGGGGCAAGGGGGGAGGGTCGCGGGACACTCGGAAGCGGCCGGCACGTGCTCCAGTTTCCCCGAGACCCACCCCCTGGGGGGTGGTGGGTTTCGCGGGGGGTGAAAACGCGTTGTTAAAATCGAAAGGCGCAAGGCCTGGTCAGGAAACAATACCTCGAGATTATCCTTTCTCATGGTGATTCCGCGGCCGCGCAAAAGGGGGAGGACGAAGTAACCCCTTCTCTCCCCTCCTTTCTTCTTTTTTTTTTTCACTAAATTTTTAAGCCGAAAGGGGGAAACCACGTTTCGCGGATTTGGAGGTTCTGTGGAAACTCTGGGTCGTTTAAAAAAAATAAAATAAAATATTTCGACGAGTCTCTTTAGGGGAGGGTAAATCCTCGCAATGCTCTTCTTAATACTTTTGTCGTTCAAGTAGGGACCTCATTCGCACGGAATTTCGTTGAGAAAATCCCGACTTTTTTTTTTTTGGGCTGCAACAATTGCATTGTTCCAGTAGATACTTAATTCTGTGGATTCGGCTGGATGTCGAAGTTACTTAAAATACTTTCCGCGATTTCTTTGCTCGACCCTGCATTTAATTCACTCGAGACTCTTTTCTGGTCGCTGCACTAGTGTCATCGGGCAAACCTTGCGCCTCCGACGCAGACGGTGTGACGGCCGAGAATACGCACGCACGTCTAAAAATACTTGGCCGGGCGCGTGCGTGCGTGCATACGTGCGTGCACCTCCGTCACAATGGGAGGCACCTGTCTCTCGACACTTCCAACGAGGCTAGCCGCTGAAATGGAGCAAGATCCACGGGCGTCGCGGCGCGTCGACGCCTCGAGGGGGGGCCAGGAAAGGGTTAACGCGCGTCGGCGAAAAAATGAGTCGCAGTACGCGCGGGGGAAGGAAAGAGAAGAGAAAAAGAAAGAGAAATCGCGCGTAAACCTGACACCGAGAGACGTCTCGTCCACTTGACGTTAAGTGTAACCGAGTACCCTTTAAAGATATTCATTATTTTTCGTCCCATCGGTACTGGTGAGAGGGAAAAAAATTCATTCGGTCTTAGGAGGATAGAAGGAAATATTTCGCTAATCGTCGAGGTATTATTCGAGTACCCTTTGTACGATCTTCCGTGATTATCGTCCGTTCTATAAATGGTTGGCCCCCGGGATGAAAGAGATGGAAAAGATGGTACCTGCGACGCAGCGGAAGCCAAGTTAGAGAAAGAGAAAAAGAAAGGAAGAAAATGAGAGAGGAGAGAGAAAGAGAGGGGCAGGAATGAGACAGGTAGTGCGTGGTTTGAGAAGAATGACCGTGGACAAATCGTCGCACCCATGGGGTAACTTGGAAAGGTAGGCAGAGGTGATCTTCGTCTTTCCACGGGGAACGAAATGACGATACCTCGTCATTTTCCTAGTGCATTCTTCTCAGGTGTACTCGGTAATCGGAGCCATTTGCAAGCGACTCGCGTTCGGCTTGCATTTGCGGGAGTACTCGAAGAAGTGGTCGGAGGGGAAGATAAGAGGGAAATTAAGTCGGGAAATAAGTCGCCTCGAGGGAAATCAAAATCCATCGGAGTGGGATCTCTTGAAATTTAGTCGCCTTGAATTAGTGCCATTGGCCGGAGGAATCTTTAAATTTGGTCGCCTTCAATTAGTGCCATTGGCCAGAGGAATCTTTAAATTTAGTCGCCTTGAATTAGTGCCGGAAGTGCTCCGGAAGCCGTCCTTTCCGCCTCCTTCCGAATCTTCATTTTCGTCCTTTCATCGCGGAGGGTTAGATTTTATCTTTCAGCGCGGAGGTTGCATCGGTTGCATCGGTTGCATCGGTTGCATCGGTTGCATCGGTTGCATCGGTGCATGTCCAAATAATCGAGTGAAAGGGTCGGGCAATGGCGAGCTTTCGACAGGCAAAAGGCCGAGTAGAAAGGGAAGAGAAAAAGGCCCCGAGTCCCGGGGGATATCTCCGTCTTTCGTGGACCTCGAGTCCGGGAGACTCCCTCGGGAGTCCCGCGACTTCCAAGAGGTATATTCCTCCAGAACACCTCGGCCATTCCCTGGACCGACGAAATCGGCTCCTCCTTATTCGCATACCGGCAGAAAAATCGGATCCCGATCCCGCGAATCCGATCCGGGGATAATTGATAAGGGATGAACTTGACTCCGGCCTTCCGAGGAGCGGTGATAAGGAGCTACTCGGGGAAACGAGCGGGTCAGGGATTACGATACCGTGACGAGGTCTACATACGACATAAATATAAATAACGCAAAGTTAACGTGAAATTAACGAATTCACCGTTTTATACGATCCGCAATTTTTTTTTTCTTTTTTTTTTACCCGAGTGAAGTCTTTTTGTTACGTTTTCATTAACGATAATAGCAACCTTTTAACGTTCTGCCGCCGGGAGATTTCATTTCTCGCCAGGGCGTTGGGACTGCATGCTTTTTTTATTTTCTTTTTAATTTTTTTGTCCCCGGTCGACCTCGTTGCACCCTTTTCGAAATCGTGTCGGGAATGCGAGGGATGGCCAGAAGCGCATAAATGGCCTGCACCCGTCCGAGGAATTATTACTCGGCCAGCCAGTCGATCCATGAATGGGACCGCGGGCCATTGATGAGAGTAAAACCATTCCGAGATATGCTCGAAAGAGCCGCGATTTATTTGGCCCCGTATTTTACCGGCAAATTGGGACTGCCGTCTCGAGCAACGCGTACTTAATCACGCGAAGTCTCTCGATAATAATTATCCTCCTCTCGGCCCTCGTAACGAGACCGAACTCTCGAGGCTGCCGAAGGTGAGTGGAATATTGAGAAAATGTAGATCGATGCCATCTCGATGCCGTCGATGCCGAGAAAGCTGGAACGACGATCTCCCCTTGAGATTTTACGGCGAGGGCGATTATGAATTTTCGTGATCGTGACATTCCCTTTCGCGACAAATTACAGGAAATCTTGGGAAATCGTGATATATTAAAAAATAAAATATTTCACAGCATTGTTCCTTTAAAGTGGTCTAAATGTTAACGTAGATTCGTGTCACCATCGGGGGCCTCGCGTCCCTCGAGGAGCGCGAGCCATTAATGGGAGCAATGTATAATTTCGCGGGTCCTCGCCTTGCATCCCGAATTCCTAATATTCCCCTCATGGGATATCCCGAGGGTGTTTGCAAGGGAAAACAGGGATGCACATATGGGACGCGTTCCCGAATCGAAGACGTGTCCTACGGGACGACAGCCTCTAACACGAGGCGTAATCCCTGGAGAGCATAGGACATCCGTCCAGAAAGGTCGGAAAATTCTCCCTGCCTCGATTTTCCTGAATTTCGCCTCCTCCCCGAAAATCCTGCCTAATGAAAACCCGGAAACGCGTAAAATCCGTACGCTCCAATGAAAACATAGAGACCGATGGGGTCCTTTTTCGCTCCCTCGAGTGCATAAAACCGCGACGCATCGCGGACATCCCGGATTTTTCCTGGGAAAACAGATTTTCCCTCCTCGCTTTTTCACCGCCCTCGGTTCATCTGGAACAACTGGAAATTCCGCCCCCCATGGAAAAACGCGTTTCCGCTTTTGCGATTCATTTTTTAACACTGTTTCTACCAGGATTTTGTGTGTACCTATTTCGACCAAAAGGTTTTGACGAGCTGGAGGAAAATCATACCGCTAAATAAATTTAACAATTATTATACGTAAACTCAAAACATTAATTGAGAAAGAAAATTATTAAACTTTGAAAATAATTTCAAGTTAAAATTTTAAATGGTGTCTTTCGACACCTTAGGTAGAAATAGTGTTAACGAAGGCATGTACTCCGGACAGAGGGTTCTCGTCCAGAGTTCACTTTAGCACGGGTACGAGCGAAAATGGGGAAGAAGGGAGAAAAGGGATGCGAGAAATGGTCACCAGGAAACTCACCTCGACGTACATCCGCGGGAACCGCGAGTTTCGATTATTCTTCCCTTTGAGCGGCGACCCCTTGACGGCGACCACGTGGGTCCCGATTGACAGCGACCACGCGTGCCGCGGTTGACAGCGACCACGTGGTCCACTCGGTGCGCGCGCACTAGTGACGGTCCTTAAAAAGCGATCAGTGCGCTCTTTCTCCGATGTCCGAGCAATCGAATGGGATTAAATTAATATCCGAGCTATTCGCCGTATCAAGGGAGACAGCCATCCATCCTCACTTTTATCCTACGTTATCGAGTCTCCCCCGGGCATCCCCGTCTCTCTTCCACCGGGCGTCATGGTCGTCATCTCTCTTCCCCGAAAGTCTCTCGTCAAGGCGACCGACTAATCGGCACCTTTTCCCAGATCTCTTCCCTCCCGCCCCCCCAGCCCCCCTATTCATTCCCTCCTCAAGGGCCGACGAATCGCGCGGTTTTCAGGAACTCTATCTGGATTTTAATCATAACATTTCGGGGGAGAAAATGCCGAGTAAAAAGATTCCCGCTTTCCCGGAATTTTAATTGAATCTCCTCCCCCAAGAGAATCCGGGCTCCCTTTGACCGTGGATCCTCCGACGCAGAATCCCGAAGTACTCCTCCACCTCGCTGAGGAATTTCCCCTCCGCGTCGATACTTTTTAATCCCGACCCGATACCGACACCCCTTTCCCCCCGGTGTCTCCGTTATCACCCGATACCTCGATTTAGCCTTCGAGTTCGGTATGATCGGTCGAGATCCTACCACGAGGGCCGAGGGTGAGACCTCTCCCGTGACTCCTCTCACTCTAGGGGAGATCGAACGCGCACCTCACGAGTCCACTCGTCGAGTCTCGATATTCCGTGTCGGGATCGATTTCGACGCGATAGTCGGCGGTGGGTTTCTCGCCCTCCACGAGTTGAGTCTAGGAAGGGGTTACGTCGATCCATGTCGCGAGGGGATCGATCGGCGATCGATCGGGGTGCACCCCGGTCGGGCGCTGCGCGGCCGTGACTTCCCGCGCTGGTGACCGTCGCCGCACTGAGAGCACGACCGAGGGCGACCGGGAGACCTTCCCGAGTCTCTCTCGTGCACGCGGTCTCCCGCGGGTGCGCGCGCACCCCGCGTGCACGCACGACACGCGCAGCGCGCGGCGCGGAGCGTGCATTCGGCGCGCGACCGCCGAGCGGAGCGCATCGTGCTACGTCCTCGCACGTTGCGATATATCGTAGCGATTTTGACGCAGTGCCGCTGAATCTATAACAAATTGTCCGTAACAAAAAAAAAGGAAAGAAAGAAAAATGTTGCCTTCGAGTAAGCTCTGTATATACCTACGTAAATACATTTTTAATCGCCTTTTATTGACAATGGAAATGTCTCTAAGGAAATAATTTACACCCTAGGTGCCCAACGGAATCACTGAACAATTGTTGACTAATTGCCTCCCGCTTGAGGGTTTAATATTTCACTCTGAAAAGCGATTTTTCTTTCTATGCTATCGTTCCCTTGCAAATAAACCGAGATATAGATTAGACCGATATCACGACGGAGGGAAAGAGAAATATTTTCTCGGCTCGATGGGTGGCGACATGTTCTAAATATTTAGACTGGCCTGGGGTATTCTATGGTGTTGGTACTAAGGTTTCTGGTGTATTATGGCTGGGGTATAATTCGTAGGGTTTTGAGTACGGTTTGCGAAAATCTCTCTTTCGACCTGTCGATTCGGTGGAATCGATTCGGTACGAAGACCGTGTTAAGAGGCCGATTTATTACCTCGCGGTTGCATCGAGATACCTGGGGGGCAGGTGTGTCATAAAATTCCGGTGATTGATTGCGCATAAAAGCATAACATTAGTGGCTTTATGTCCGCCTCTCGTTAGTACTAGCCCTAGAGTGCCGCTTTCCTTTGAAGAGTCCCTTTCCACTCGCTCTTCCAGAGACCTTCTTCAGGGCCGACTTGGGTATCGCATTTAAACTCTCAGTTACGAGTAATAATAATCGTGCCGTTCCGTCTGCAATCTCCTACGTTAAAAAAAGGAACCATAATAAATTTACGAAACACCTATTGGACATTTCTTATCCAGGGGTATTAAATTTACAATACGGCTGTACTTAATAACCGTGATTTTTAATTTCACGGACTGGGGTAAGAAGCGATAATATTCCAGACGTTTGTACATTTAAAAATTATATTATCGACTATGCTCAATTTTTAATACAAATGCGAGACTGATACGTTAAAAAAAAAACCGTAATAAATTCACGAAACACCTATTGGACATTTCTTATTCAGGGGTATTAATTTTACAATACGGCTGTACTTAATATCCGTGATTTTTTAATTTCACGGACTGGGGTAAGAAGCGATAATATTCCAGACGTTTGTACATTTAAAAATTATACTATCGACTATGCTCGATTTTTAATGCAAACGCGGGACTGGTACTCGACTTCGGACAAGTCTGAGGTTAGCCGGCGCTGCACCGGTGCACCGGATGCACTCTCCATTCTTATTTCACGCGCCGTACGCACCGATTTTATGCACTGTCGCAATTGCGTCCGCGTGCAGAAACGTTTAATGGCATACAGAAGCGACCATCCCAGGGATCACGTGACGGATCGCATATAAATGCAAATAAGGGAAGAGAGTCGTACGAGCAGGACCTAACTTACGAAAGTTTCGCGGGGATGCAGAAAAGTGCATTCGCCTCGCTAGGCCCGCGTAGCTCGATTTAAGCGCGGCCGCTTTCATTTTCTTTAATAATTCTTAAAGAACAATCGGCATCGTTTCGCCCATTCGTTATCGTTATCGCATTGATTCACTTGAATTCGCTTATATAGTCCTTTTTTTTTTGAATCCTCGCGACGGGATTTTCAGTAGAGGGATCAGGAGGTGGAGGGGCTCGAAAAAGAGGGAGCAAGGACTCGTGGGAGAATTTCAATGCTAGCCATCAGTTATGTCCGCGCATTGAACACACGGATTCGCTGAATGGACGCGAGGCGTTCCCTAACCTATAATCTAATGCCCATTACGTTTACGTTGGGTACTACCTGTGCATTGCTGCCGGGAACATTGAACGAGTGAAGCCCACCGGTCTAACCCCACGTGCCTCGAGATCTCTATACACTCCTGGAAAGATGTACGAACGCAAAATCCTTATAGAAATTAAATAAAAAGAAAAAAGGAGGAGGAGAAAGAAACGATGGAACGTGTCGCGGGATTTTTGCACCTGAGGGGAGGAAGGTGGGGAATTTCTTTTACTCCAGAAGAGGACGCTTATCTCGAGGGCCTCGGAATTAGTCCTTTTACAATCCTATCCCGACATTAAAATTCTTTTACAATCCTATCCCGACATTAAAATTCCTTCGACCCTCCTATTCGCGCTTGGGCGAAGTTGCGTGGCGATCGGCTGCTCTCCACTTTTTCTTCCTTCGGGATAATCTCTCCCAGTTTTTCTGGGACCCTTCCGGGTCCCTTTGGACGCATTTGGCACGCTCGGAGAAGCATTTTGCAGCTTTAGTCCTGGCAGGTAGCACGGCCGGGCACGTGCTCGCCAACGCGCGTGTTTCCTGAAACGTGTTCGGTACGTGTCACGCACGTGTTTCCTCCGAAATGTTCCTGGTGGCCTCGAGGCTGCTTCTGGACTCCTCGAACCTCTTGAACGAACTTAGAAACGATTTACACGGAGGCCGATATTTTTTTTTCGGCGTAAAAAAATTCTCAGGCTTGAAATGTCGATAAATCTCTCTCTGAAATACATGAACTTGCGTTTAGAAAATTATTTAGGGATAAATGAAAATGTGGACAGGAAAAGGTCTTACGAATTACTCGGGTTAAGGAATTTACTCAATGCTTCGTTTAGTTCCCTAGTTGATATCCAGGGTGATAATTTGTTTTAATAATTCCAGAGTCGATTCGTTAACGCGTCGGGGTCGGAAAAAATGTCCGGCGGGTAATTTCGCTTGAACTTCCTGGACCGGGTGTGCGGCTGTAATTATAACTCCCGAGATTTACAAGGAAATGGCTAATAAAAGGCTGTGTGCATTAGCGGACGCGGTAATTGCGCAAAGCGAGGGAAATTATGTTCCTGTCGCGATGCATCTTCGAGGCAGGTCGGTTATTAATTTTATTTGCCAAGGGTGGGGGGCCCGATCAATCGACTCGGTGAGTTAATCAAATTAGGCCTTTTAACGCCCACGAGGGGGGCGGGGGAAATTCTGCTTTTCGCAAAAATCGGTAATCACCGGTTGTCCATCGATGATTATAATTCAACGAGGATATCGTCGTCTTCTATTAATCTCTCCTAGGCAAGGTACGATGTAACCGTCCGGTTAATCAAGGGAATTGCATAATTTCCGGAGGGATAATTAAAGTCAGTTCCCACTTGAGGAATCATTATCTCCGCGACTTCTCCAAATCGGAATATTCATTTTAAAATCGTGCGCCTCAGGAATTACCTTTAGGAATTCTTCCTTACAATTGCGACGTTAATTGCCTAATTAATCCGTAAAGGGAAGTACCCGTAATTCCGAAAATGACGGTTTCCATTCGAGTAGCTCTCCGGAGGCTGTCGAGACCGGCGCTTTTCCTCGAGTGCACCGAGAGGAGTCCTAAGTACACGGTGACAATATTTGTCCATTCACCGAGGCGCGACGTGTCCCGAGTGTCCCTTCTGTCCCTCGAGTGACACTTGTCTCCCTTTGAAAAATCCAGCCCAGGAGGATATTTGATTAGAGCTTCTTAGCACGCGCTAGACTTTCCGGGACGACCATTAAGGTGATACAAAAATGACATCCGAGGAATTTCCTTCATTAATTTTGATTTTTTTTTTATCCAGAACAAGGCATAGCGAATCGTTTGAAACTGTAGCCCGTGATCGTGTAAGCCCTAAGAACACTTTTCACATTTATTTACCATTACAAATGTATACATTTTAAAGGATTCGGCACGTCCAGTTCGGAAAACAGTTTCATAAACGATCGACCCCTCGGCTGCCACTTTCATGCCACCTTAAAGGGACTGTAACCCGTGATCATGTAGACCCTAAGGGCACTTTTCACATTTATTTACCATTACAAATGTATACATTTTAAAGGATTCGGCACGTCCAGTTCAGAAAACAGTTTCATAAACGATCGACCCCTCGGCTGCCACTTTCATGCCACCTTAAAGGGACGCTTCGTCTCCCGGGGATTCATTTGTCCCTTTCGCGAGATCTCGGCCAAAGGGAGGCCTCTGAATAATAAAGCTCGCAGATGAATTAGTTATCGACCTCTCCCTCGAGAGAGAGCCGAGGGGATAATCCTGTCGTCAGACCCCGACGTCTGTACAGGACGGCCGAGGGTAATAAGTTTCCCCAGGATTCCGTTCTTTTTCGTCTCGTGATAAGAGCATGGGACCCGATATCAGGCC